GACTAACAAACCATTAGTACTCATGATGCAAAATCTTTGTGTGTTTAATTGGTTTACAATTAAATGTCACATAAAATAAGGCTTTTTATGGTTATTAGGCTTAAGGGCTGGGTTGGACCATTGTCTTTCTGGTTTGGGAGTTGAAAATTATTGTCTAGCATTATGATAGCTAAACTTCAGGTAGAAGGCATTCAGGTGTTCCTGCTCCATTGCTCCAAGTCCTGTATCCATAAATGTCCTGTCTTCAACAGTAAGGTATTACCAACTAGTTCTGGAAGATAACCAAGAGGTTAAGCAATAGTCAGTGTTACTTTGGGTGTCTCCTGGACCACTCTCAAATAATGACCAGCATGACAAACTACCTCTCTTGGTGCAGTAGTGGCACTGTTATCCGAGGGGCAATCAACAGGTATCTAATTGGACTTAAAGCCTTCTCAATGGGAAGGAACTCATGGGTTGCACTGTAAACTCAGCCAAATACACATGGCAGGAGAGGACACAGATCTTAGAGAAAACTCTATCTCTTTTGTATCTCTAAACAAATGAGATTGCTTACCCTATGCTAAATATGGATCCTTATATTTACAGACAAGAACACCATAAACCACTCATCAAAGAAGCTTCTTCGTGCAACAGATGGAGACTACTGCACAATCCCACAACTGGTCAGACACAGATAATGTATGTCTGAGAGATGTCCAGCACTAGGTGACAAATCTAAACCTAAGGCTCATGGAACATGGCAGAACAAGGAGTAGAGCGAAAACTAATGTATCCCTCAGCTTCCACGAGCAACGCTTCCTTATGCTACAAAGTGTGATGCACACGGAAGGCCACAAGTGGCCAAGTTTTAAGAAATAAGAGACTTCAGAGTTTGTATCCTTGGATAGGACTCCTATATTGACCCTCACCCACCCACGGCTTAGGGACTATTGTGGAAGAGGGGGCAGGAAGATTATAAAAGCCAAGGCTAGATCATGAACATAGGGAAGCAGAGGCTTTCAGGCCACTGGAGGCTTGCATATGTGAATGTGTGGCAATGGAGGCACTGAGCACAGGACCCAAGCCAACTCAATTAAAAAAGAGCCCAGAGGGGAGAAGAGGAAAGGATGGCAAGCCAGCCCTAGACTGAGAACTATTAGAGACTGTTTGCTACTGGGTAAGGGAGAGTATGTCTTACATACAATCTCTAGATGGGCTGACTAGACGCCAGTGGATAAATTTACACTGAAGGACATCTGAGTACAAATGCTTGATTGAATAGGACGTAACACACAAGGCAGAATACCTGAGGCCTTAAGGGACATGGATAAGTGAGGGAGGTCTAAATTTCATTAACTGTTGTAGGAAATTACAAAAGCTCAGTAAAAAAAATTTTTAAATACGGCTTTCAAACATTTCTTAAGAATAGACTTCTATTTATACTGAGGGTAAAAATTATCTGGAGATAGCTAGCAGTTGACCCACGCAGGTGATATGGTGTTCCCAGTCATCACTTATTTAGCTTCAGTGTGTCTTCTGGCTTGTGTTGATTTTCTGACATGTGTTGAATTTATTGACATGAGATAAATGTATATAGTTTGAGGGATTTCCTCAGACTTCCATAGCTGACTGGTAACTAGTTAGGGTTTCAATCCAGGTCTTTCATGAGTACAGAGCTCTCTATCAAATAAGGTGAATGGGTCTGATTGTGTAAAATGCCCTCTTTAACATTAAACTATCCAGTGCCTTCCATTTGAAGAGCAGATAAGAATAGCAAATAACAAAACTATGTGATGACATGCAGGTGCTCTGTTGTATCTTTAAAATATTTAATGAAGCTGGGTGTGGTAGCACACGCCTTTAATCCCAGCACTTGGGAGGCAGAGGCAGGTGGATCTCTGTGAGTTCAAGGCCAGCCTGGTCTACATAGTGAGTTCCAGGACAGCTGGGGCTACAGAGAAACCCTGTCTCAGAAAAAAAAAAAAAAAAGACCAAAAAAATATATATATTTAATGAAATACAAACCCAAAGAAATAAAATTCTGGGTTTTTCAAGGGCAAACACAGTATCTACAAAAGTTCATTGATGTTGTTTTAGATTTTGTTTTGGGGTTTTCTGTTTTGTTTTGTTTTGTGGGTTTTGTTTTTGTTTTTTATTGTTTTTGTTTTGCTTTGTTTTGTTTTGTTTTGAGATAGGGTCTCCCTATAGCCACAGCTTGTCTGGAACTTTCTATGTAGACCAGGCTGGCTTCAATCTCACAGAGATCCACCTGCCCCTGTCTCCCAAGTGCTGGAATTAAAGGTGTGTACGTAAGGTGATACATGGCCTTTCATTACCTCTTAGTCACTAGGCCTACTCCATCTTGGCTGCTTATGACTCTTAGCCCACACATTCAAGGCTCCAGCCTCAAATCATCTCATCTTTCCTTGTCCTTTAATCAGGCCCAAGATTGTTTGCTCATCTGTCTTATCACCTCTTATTATTATGTAATTCACCTCATCAGTTTTTAACTATAATATTATCTGACATGTTTAGCAATTACTCCAGATCTTCTTTCCCTACTGCCTCTATTATTTACATTTCTCCTCCTGTCACACTCTTTCCTCTCCCATTTACAATCACCAAGTCTCTCAGCAGGTTTAATTTGCTCTGTGAGGCTCCGCTATATTCTGTCCTATTAAGAGAAGATTTTAATTACTTTATTACTTTCCCCACAGAATTCATGCATGCCTTACTCTATACCCGCTGGTTTTGCCATGTGCACTACTAAAATGTAAGATACTTAAAAGCACAGCTTCCATTTTTCTTTCTTGTCCTAGTGCATATATAGAAGCTATTCAAACATTATTTATGTCAAAGAACAAAGGCAATAATATACCAAAAAATCACAAAATACATTAATTTCCAGTAAAATCACCTAAGGTAAGATCTGTGCCTGTATATCTTCCTATCTTTCTCTTTTTTTCTTGAATTTCTCATTTTTAAGCCCGTTAAAAGAGTTATAACAATGAAATTACAAAATCATGCTTAAATCATTTATTTTTCCTTTCTTTAAATATAACCCGATTCTGAGGGAGAACTGCTTTCTTAACAAAGTGACTTTCATTTGAGAACATGCAGCTTCTTCATTTCATAATTTGCTTTGAAAATACATTTGCAAGGCATTCATGTTTATTTTTGTTCAGTAATGTGTTAAGATTTTCACAAATATACTCTAAGAAAGAAGCAGAAACTGAAGAATTGTGGAAGAACAATCTCTTAAATTTTATTTTAATGATAGCAAGGCTTTTGAGGCAAAAGTATCTCCTTTTAAGAAATAATGTAAGAATGGCCAAAACTCAGCTGGTGAAAGGCCTTGCCACACAAGCCTGATAACCTGAGTTGGAATCTCAGCACCTGTGGTGAAAGGAGAACCAAATCCCAAAAGTTGCCCTCTGATCTCTGCATGTGCATGCAGAGAGAGAGAGAGAGAGAGAGAGAGAGAGAGAGGAGAGAGAGAGAAGTGAATAAATTTTTAAATAAAAATAAAACTCTAAAACAAGAAATAATATGAAGACACAATGAATTATAAACTATGACAATAAACAAAGGCAAAGAGAAAGGAAGAAAAGAATTAACCCTAAGTTGTCTAACCACTAGATGCCATTAAAATAGAATAGTCACTGAGCCCAGCAAAACCCAAAGAGCGGCAAGGTATTATGTTCAGTCTTTTTCTTATCTAAGAATCCCGTAGTGTGGGCATAGATAAGGATCTTAAGGGAAAGATTTTATTTTCATGATTGGGTTTTCCCCTACCTAATTATTTACTTGAATTAATCTCTTCAGTACCCTCTTAAATATTTAGATTCCTTAGGATCCTACTCTGGTTCCTCTGTTATTTACACGTTCCATAGTTTATCTCTTCTGTTCCTACTATATTAACTACTTATAAAAGCTAACATTTGCTTTTCTCCCCTTAGCTCTACACCCATTTGCTGTTCTGCTAATGGAATAGCTTTGGGTGGAAGAACCCCAGGTATCTCGAACTCGGTAGTCTTTCCTCATCCCCTCCCTTCACAGATATATCCCTCCTGACAATTTCTCAGTCCATACACTTTAAAATCATCTTTTATTCTTCTGCACATTCCCCACCATCAGTTGACTGGTTTTTCACCAAATTTCATAGTTCTAAATTAGTTTTCATTCCATTCTGTTGGTATATTTTCTCTTCTCTTTTCTTGCCTATTTGTTCTAATAATTTCCTGCATCTTTGCTTAGACTTCACTCCAAAAACAGCATTAAAACCTACATAAATAAGCAATCAATCTACCAGTATGATAGAAATCTTATCACTCCACTGTTTCATTTTAATTCTTCACATTGAACATAAAGTCCCAAATCACAGCACGCTCCATGCTTACTCCCAGGTCTACCTTTCTTTTGGGTGATGTGTTACCTAGTTTGTTCTTTGTTTTGTTTTAATAATTCTTATTTTTTTGTTTGTTTTTATTTTTTTGAGACAGAGTCTCCCTATAACCCCAGCTGGCCTGGAACTTGCTTTGTAGACCAGGGTGACCTCAATCTCACAGTGATCTGCTCTGCCTCTGCCTCCCAAGCTCTAGGATTAAAGGCTTATGTAACCACACCTGGCCGTTCTTGTTCATTTATGGCAGTGTTCTTATTTTCCTTTCATGGCTCCCAAAATTTTTAAAGATTTAGTTCTTTAGATTTTATCTGGAAGATCATTCCTCTAATGTCTCTCCCTCCTCATTCTGTGCTGTAAGTTCCCTTTCCACTACATTTTAAATTAAATTTAACCACTTTTCAATTAATGCATCAGCTATGACTTGGGAATAAAATAATAGAAAACTAAAATTATTCTTATTTTGCATTTTGTACAAAAACACAGCAAATTGCTCCAGCTAAACAATATGCATAAGATCTACAGATCAGGATACAAAATTAAAGACTCCGACTCCAAAACTCCATCCTGAACCATTCTCTAGACTGCCTTTTGAAGGAGGTAAGACATAACTTACCGATTTGACATCAATCAAGTAGAATGTTGGTCCAGTTATAACAGCAGGTTCACTCCAGCTAATGCTGATACTAAAAGGAGAGGTTGCCACCACATGAACATTTTCGGGAGGACCATCTGGAGCTATAACAATAGGAAATTGGTCACCCTGCCAAATAGTTATCACATGCTACATTATAATAAAAAAATCAATGAAAAATGGATAGTCACAATGAATTAATTTTACATTAATTTGCAGGTCATAAACATGCTAAAAGCACTAGCAAATCAAAATACTGAATTTCTGAAAATAGTTACTGTATGTAAATGATTTCCATATGAAAAATAATTAATTAGAATCATAACATGTGATTTTTAAACTTGACATAGCATTTTTAAAAGACAGCATTACCATAAATAAAATTAGCTTTTCATATATAAATATTTTATTTAAAAATAAATAACTTAGCAATGTTGTTTCAAGAAAACTGAAAGTAGCAAAAAACACAGTTTAAAATGGAAACTCATTTGGGGCTAGAGAAATGGTTCAGTGGCTAAGAACACTTGCTGTTCTTCCAGAAGACCCAGGTTTGATTCCCAGCACCCACATGGCAGCTAACAGCAGTCCATAACTCCAATTACAGGGGAATTGACACCCTCATCTGGCCTCTCAGGCATTGTACACATGTTGTAGCACTTATACATATGTAGGCAAATCACTAATACACATAAAAAATAAATTAATAAAATATTTTTAAAAAATGAAACTCATATAAAATACTAGTATTGTTTAAAGTATCATTTATTAATATAAATTGGGTTTATTAATACTTTCACTGAAGGGTAGACAAAAGTGTAGGTTTAATACTTGGTCTGATCTTTTGTTAGACAAAAACTTTCAATTTATCAAGATTTATGAAACAACTATTGAAAGCCTTTATGTGTGAATTTTCAATTTTTGAAACACCTAGAAATTAGAAAAATTAGGAGTATGCTAAGAAGTTAATTCAGTTATTGTAACATAGGCATCAATAAAGAAATACTACTGTGCCAACTTTGTTCCTTGCAGGGACCCCAGTGCTCTGTAGTGATATTGAGAGAGACTTATTTTTTGGTGAGAAAGAAAGAGAGAGAGAGAGAGGTTTCCTTGTAGCACCAACTGGCTTGGAACTCACTATGTAGATAAGGCCGACTCCATCCCAGAGATTCACTTGCCTCTGCCTCCCAAGTACTAGGATTAAAGATATGTACGACCACACCCAGCAAGAGAGAATTATTTTTGAAAAGTTTGATTTATAAATCCAAAAGACCAATCATTTCTGATGATGTACTATATCCTGATATGATATAAAATGAAGACAAAATACTTTCTTAAATGAATTTCCAATCGAGGGACAGCAATAAGTTCTTGGTAAAACAACAAAAACTCTGAACATCAGTTTTTCAGATGTATATTTAGTGGTTTTTAAAATATTATTTTTTAAGTTTTTATTTGTTTATTTTTATTTTATTTGTATACTGTTGTGCCTGCATGTAAATGCACTCAAGTCATGCAGTCCCCAGGAGGACAGAAGAGGGCATTGGATGCCCTGAACTGGAGTTATGGATGGTTGTTAACCACCATGTGGGTGCTGGGATTCAAACTTGGGTCTCTGCAAGAGCAGCCAGTACTCTTAACTGCTGAGCTATCTCTCCAGCCCCATTTAGTAATATCTTTATATATTTTTTTAATTTTAAAGAAAATTCAGTAACACACTCCAGAGCAAGAGTACATCTCTTTCACAGGTGGCTGTAAATTTCTAGGTTCACAGTTGAATAATACAGTTACACAATATTGAACTCAGTATAAGCCTTGTAAGACTTAAATTGAATGAGTTTTTAACCTTTAAAAAAAGATCTCCATTTCATTTTAGAATATATTGTTCTTGCAGAAAGACTCATTGTTTTTGCTGCTAACACTGAGATGTTGGCCCATGCATCTCTAATCTGTATGTATACAATTATTACTAGTCATAATCGGTTGCACTTGGATCCTTGGCACCTGTGTATGTCTATAAAGTCATCGGGTAGATTTCAATGGTAATGTTTATCACCTCTACTAATTAACGTGACATAAATTTCCATGCTTCCTCCTCAAATATAATACATTTTTAAAAATTTGATTTTTTGTGTGTGTGTATGTATATCACACAGATCATCCCAAACCATCTTATTCAATTATACATCCACTTTCCAGATGGCACCCTCCCATAGCCTCCCTCCCCTCACTAGAGCCCTTATACTCTGATATCCCTGCTACTGTCTGCTGTGTTGTCGGCACCCCAGTCATTCCCCACTTCTTGTCCATCTGGTGAATCTAGTCAGCCTATCTAGAGGTCTTTGTTTTAGGAAGGTCAGCTGTTCCTCATCTAGCAGCAACCAGTTCTCAATATTCCTTTAGGTAAGATTGGGGTCTGCTGTTCACCCCAATATTTTTTAAAGTCATATATAGGCACAGGAAAGGAGTTTATGAGCAGGACCCCGATAGCACAGACATTAAGACCAAGAGTAGATAGATGAGACCTCATGAAACTAAAAAGCTTCTGTACAGCAAAGACACAATCATTTTAGTGAAAAGCCAGCCTACAGAATGAAAAAAATTCGACCAGCTATACATGTGACAGAGAGTTAGTATCTAGAATATACAATGGACTCAAATCGAGAGAAGAAACAATTTCTATTTAAAAAAATGGAGCATGGAACTAAACAGAGAGTTCACAAAAACTGAAATACAAATGGCTGAGAATATTTTTTAAAAGATAGAAACCCAGGGCTGGAGAGATGGCTCAGCAGTTAAGAACACTTGCAGAAGTCTGGGGTTCGAATCTCAGCACCCACATGGCAGCTAACAACTGTCCATAACTCTAGTTCCAGAGGATCTGACAGCCTCTTCTGTCTTCCAATGGCATTGCACAACATGCAGGCAATACACACATACATATAAAATAAAAATAATAAATAAAATAATTTTTACAAAAGTTATTTTAAAAAAGATCAAAACCCTTAGCCTTTAGGGAAATGCAAATTAAAACTACTCTGGGGTTTCATCTTATCTGGGTCAGAATGGCTAACATCAAAAGAAACAACAACAAATGCTGACGCAGATGTGGGGAAAGGGGCACACTCATTTATGGCCTGTGCAAACTGATGCTACCACTATGGAAATAGAGTGGAGGTTTCTCAAAAAGCCAGAAAGAACTCCACCACATGATCCAGATCCACTACCTTAAGGTATGTACCCAAAAAACTACATATCCTACTACAGAGATACTTATTCATTCATGCTTCTTGATGCTATATTCCCACAATAGCCAGTCTAAATGTCCATGAACTAATGAATGGATAATGAAAATGTTGTATATTTGCATTACATAATATTATTCTGCTGCTAAGAAAACTGAAAACATGGATGGAGCAGGAACTAATCATTGTGATGATATAACCCCGAACCACAAAGACATATTTCACACCTTTTCTCCATTTGTGCATGCTAGCTTTAAATCTTTATATATGCATGTTTCATTTGGAATATCTTAAAGAAGTCAGAAAACTAGTAATGGGTAATGGGGGCAGGACTACTTTTAAGCGGGGCGGGAGATAGACCACAGTTGTATAAAACTGGGAAGGGGAATAATGCAACAGGAAAAATTATGTTCATATGGAAACATACTACTGTAAAAGCTTCTTAAAATATATACATACACACATATAAAAATAGTTTAAATGGAGTTACTCTACAATGGGGCAGCAATGTCCCTACTAGGCACCACAGGCTAGCAAATAAAAAGGCCAGTGCCAGGAATGGGTTACCTTTTTGAACTAGTGTCCAATGAGGTCCTTTAGACCACAAAACATTATAGGCTATTGCCTTTGCTTTTAGTTACCATCCAGAACTTGAAATCAATGCCCTGTTGCCTAAGATACCACATGCCTAATTCATGCAATACAGAGAAATCAAGCTGGTACTAAACTCAAAGCTTCATCCCTACTGGCTAGATCTCATGGTGTTGGAATGTTCTAGCCATACTACCAGAAAAGAAAAGCAATCAGCAGTCTTACCCAGCTGTGAATTCTGAGTTATGATAACCACCAACCCAGCAAGACACTCTCACTGGAGCAATAGTGCCAAGAATGTCATGCAAGTAACCAATAAGTTTCTGATTGGTTATAAGACTCATTCCGCAAGATGTAACCTATACCTGGAACAATTATCAGGGCAAAGAACCTGTGTCTAAATAGGTTGTAGGCCCTAGGGGAGAACCTACAAATGGACATAGAATTAAGCTAGCCTCCTAATGACTTATTCTTACACTTATAGATTAGTGCATCTCTCAACCATCATCAGAGAAGCTTCTCTTTGCACTAGATACCAATTAACATAGAGACTACAACTGGCTAAAGTACAGAGAATAAGAAATTATGGTGTGCTTAAGCCTAAATGGGACAACTATGTCACAGCCCCCCTCCCACAGCTTAGTGATCATCACTGAAGAGGATCGAAATATTGTAAGAGCAGAGGTGTTAGATGACCACAATGAAACTGTGTTTTCCACATACAGCACGGAAGTTGCACATATGAACTCACAGCAGATGTGACAGCATGTATGTACAAGACCTGTGCAAGCTCAAGCCAGACAAAAACTTAGCATAGAGGAGGGAAGTCCCACCCAGGGATGAATATCTATTGTCAATTGGTAACTGCTGTGAGAGGAAGAGTCAGTTTTCATTAAGGGTGAGGCTCCCAGTACGTCAACTATTTTCCAGTGGATGGCCCCCACACCCTAGAGTATATGGATAGCACGAATTGAACTCAGTGAGTTCTCAATAAAAAAGAGGACACAAGTTGTATGAATAGGGAAAGAGGAGATGGTTCTAGGAGAAGTTGGTGGATGGAGGGTGCATATAATCAAAATATAAAATTCTCAAAAAAATAATAAAATATTTTGGATATGAAGACAAAATACATGGAAGTAGCCATTTCCTAAATTCTTACTCTGAAAATGAGCCCCTAAGGCTCACCAGGCTGCCAGAGAGATGCATAGGACAGAAAAAAATAAGAATCACTAAATTCTGGAAATAGTAATTCCAAAGACAGAATTGTTCAT